GAGTAGCGATCACAGGCTATTTATCCCGAGGGTGCAAGAGGCCCCCCTCCGGTTCCTCATTGGCTGAGTATTATGGGGTCACCTGTTTCCTCATATGTCACCTAGGTCTCATTGTCTCCCATTGGGCCATTTTCCCTCCTCCCCACAGTCTGTTTGCCCTGGAGAAATTCAGTAACCATTTCCATTAAAAGTTAACTATGCTGAAGATGGATCACAGAGGCCTACTTCCTACACTACTGCTGTGATATGCTGGGACTTAAAAAAAAAATGTTTTCCCCAGTACTAACAGAGGGCAAAAGAGAGCACAGTAAATATCAGGTTTGCAAGTATGTGGTTCTAATCTGGCACAACCAGGTTGCTCAGAGGGGCTCATCAGTTTCATCCCAAAGGGGAGCGGGGTTCTCCACACGCTGACCTCAAAGCTGGTATCTCCTTTGAGTCCCTGTCTGGGGTCCCCCTTCCAAGGACTTGGCTATTTCCACTTGTCTGGCTTCCTTCTGCGGGAACCCCTCACACAGGAACCCCTTCCTTTGTTCCTGGCATTTGAAGTCTGTACAAGTGGCCTGCTCATCCAGGGCCTGAGTTCTCCTTCCCTTTGCCCATCATGAGTGACCTCTTGTGCTGGTCACTGACACTAGGATCACTGTTCAGATAAGACCCCGACTGTACTCAGGGCCAAAGCATAATGATAGGTTAAAGAGATAACAACTGTGCAATTACAAAGGCTACAGTAATGAGGTGTGGGTTTGGGGGTGTGTGAGGGCGGGAATCTGTTCTCACAGAGTCAGATGTAGGAAATACTGTCAAGGCTGGGGACGAAGGGTGGAGAAAGAGCTTCTAGAGCAGTGGTTCTCAACCTTCCTAATGCCTCGACCCTTTAATACAGTTCCTCATGTTGTGGTGACCCCCAACCATAAAATTATTTTCGTTGCTACTTCATAACTGTAATTTTGCTACTGTTATGAATCGTAATGTAAATATCTGATATGCAGGATGTATTTTCATTGTTACAAATTGAACATAATTAAAGCATAGTGATTAATCACAAAAACAATATGTAATTATATATGTGTTTTCCGATGGTCTTAGGCGACCCCTGCGAAAGGGTCGTTCGACCTCCAAAGGGGTTGCGACCCACAGGTTGAGAACCGCTGCTCCAGAACATGGTGAGAAGCACTGGTGGCTTTTGGCAGAACACATTGGTATAAGGCTGGTGTCACCAGAGACTGTCAGGGGTGTGGAGAGGGTGGGATCCACAGCCCGGCTGAAAACCTTTGACCTCTTCTCTCCTCCCTTGGAAGTATTATGATTCCTCCTTTCTCCTCATCCCACGCAGCATGGCTGCTTTCAGCCCCTGCTTGGAATCCCTGGTCTGGGTGATGCAACCAGGCAGAAGCAGAGGCCTCGCTGTTCCGGTTCGCTGCCCTCTGGGGAGTGGAGGCCCCGCCTCCTTTCTGAGCACCAGCTCGGAGGCCCGTTTGGAATGTGTAACGCGGTCCAGTCTCCATCTCTTCCATCTGTCCTTTCCTTGCCTGCAGCTCTGGCTTGTGGCTGGCCATGCTTCCCTGCTGTTGTCATCCTGCAGAAGTCCTAAACCAGAGCTCTGAGTTCAGTTTGCAAGGACAGGTAAATCGGACTGGAATAAAGGAGCAAACATCAAAGTCCATTAGCTTTTGTTTTGGATCTCTGTTTTTCCCAAGGGGTAAACAGCCTAAGAGTTGTAGCCTGAAAATCCATCATTTACAACACATTATGAGGCTTGCTCTATTGTCTCTTGTGATAACCATCTACCAAACATGCCACTTTTTTTGCTCAAGGACAACCAAGCCTCTTACTTCCGAGGACAGCACAAACACATGACTGTGTCCAAGTCTCCGCATCGCACTTCACATAAATAAGTATGACAAGAAGAGTGCTCACTTCTCACCCGGGGATATTTTCTTGTTGTTGCTGTTAATCCTCACTGGAGGATATTTTTTTCTATTGATTTTAGAGAAAGTGGAAGGGATTGAGGGGGAGGAAAAGAGAGGAGTGAGAGAGAGAAACATCGATGTGAGAGAGTCACGTGAATTGGTTCCCTCCCATACGCACCCCAACAGGGTGGGGAACCTGCAACCCAGGTACGTGCCCTTGACCCTTCAATTCGAAGGCCGATGCTCTAACCACTGAGCAATGCCTGCCAGGCCAAGGGTATTTTTTCCATTGAATTTTACAGAGTGGAAGGGAGGGGAGAAGAGGGGGAGGGAGAAGAGAGAAACATTGATGTGAGAGAGACACATCAATTGGTTGCCTCCCTCATGTTTGGATCAAACTTGCTCTTGACTGGGAATCAAACCCATGTTCCTTCAATGTGCGGGTTGGTGCTCTAACCACTGACCAACACCGGCCAGGGCTAAACAACAAGCTCTTAGTGGAGGAGGGAGAAAGGGAAGCCCTAATTTGTTGTGTTTGTCAATTTCTGTGTAAATATCCCACCAAATTCCCATTTCAAGCTACCAACTTGGAGTCAAGAGGCTCACAAATTTCCTAAAAATTTAACAATAGGCTCTGTTGACAGTACAAGCCAGTTTCAGTACAACTCTGGTTGAGATCAATACTACACATTAATTTAATCCAGACATTCTTTAATATTATCTATCTAAAATCTCTTATAGCCATAAAATACTACAATTCTCTGATGCTAACACTGAGTGATTTTTTGAAATTGTCAGGATACACCCAAACCTAACGAATAGCACTCAGTGCAGAACTTCATCAGCATCCTGATTAAAGCTGGCTTTGGTTCAGACTCAGAGCGCTCATCCCTCCTAAGCAAGCAGCTCTGGTCTGGAGGCCTTTGAACTAGAAGCTGCTCTGAAACCATCCCTACTTAAGAGTTGGGAACTTGGGTCTTGGAACTCCAGGATTCATTCTCGTGCTGTTCCTGCCGTCACTGGTGCAGTCAGGTGGGTGATGATTCATCGCCATATTATTTCAGCCACTGTTTCCCAGGGTGTGTGGAAGCCAGGAAGGCCTGAGAACATGAAGCAGACAGAGAAAAAACAGGGATGAGGAGAAAGGGACACGCCTAGGGCAGGGCCCTTGCTGAGTTGTAAGCAGGTGTGAGTCATTCCTGTCTGCCTTGGTAGCCACACCTTTTGTCAAGTTCTGAATGCCAGGTGGAGAATTTGCCTATACCAAGCTCCCCTGATCAAGTCAGAACAGGTTTCCTGAAAGATCATTCCCATTAAAATTAATGGAATCAAAATAGGCTGATCTCCCTTGAAATGTGATTTACTTCTGCTTCCTAAATGCTCACAGAGAGCCCTAAAAATGTAGAAGAAAGAGAAGAGGAAGAAGCATACTTAGACATCCAGGAGGCTGGAGGTGGAGAGAGGGGAGGTGGTTTATATTATCCATTCCTGCCCTTTCAGCAACCTCCTAACTATACTACAAAGAAACCAAGTTGAGTGCAGAGGAATCTTCCCATTATGTGTGAGCACCTGCGACTGCTAGTGAATCAAGAAGAAAAGATTTAGAAGGGGAAGACTTGGCACATAACTAAATTTCAAAACCTTAGGGATACAACTCATACCCATTAGGATGGCTACTATCAACCTGCACATAACTAAATTTCAAAACCTTAGGGATACAACTGACACCCATTAGGATGGCTACTATCAACCTCACCTGCCCTCTCTCTCTCTCTCTCACATACACACACACACATACCAAATATAAGTGTTGGAAAGATGTGGAAAAAGTGGAACCCTGTGCACTGCAGGTGGGAATGTGAAATGGGACAGCCGCTGTGGGAAACAATGTGGCAAGTCCTCAAAAATTAAAGATGAAACTACCATATGATCCAGCACTGCTGCGTATATACTGAAAAGAATTGAAAGCAGGATTTCAAAGAGATACTTATATTCCCATGTTTATAACAACATTATTCACAATAGCTAAAGGTGGAAACACCCCAAGTGTTCATCGATGATTGGATAAACAAAGAATGATAAGGCGTAAAATTGGATCTTATTTGGCCTTCAAAAGGAAATCCTGCCATGTGCTGTAACACGGATGAACCTTAAAGACATTATGCGCTAAGTCAAAGAAGCCAGTCACAAAAACAAACACTGTGTGATTCCACTTATGTGAAGGACCCAGAGTAATCAAATTCACTGAGACAAAAAGGAGATGGTGGTTGCCAGGGGCTGGGGCTGGGGAGTTATGTTTAATGAATACAGAGGTTCAGTTTGGGAAGATGAAAAATGTTCTTGAGATGGATGGTGGTGATGGCCGCACAACAATGTGAATGTGCGTAATGCCACAGAACTGTATGTTTACCAGTAGTTAAGATGGCACATTTTATGTTATGTGTACTTTACTATAACTTTTAAAATTACACACACACACACACACACACACACACACACACACACACCGTGGGAACAAACTATCTGGGTGTGAATCCCTGTTTCACAGCTTGTTAGAAATACGAGCTTAGTCCAATTACTCGACCAACTTCATCCTTGGCCGTCTGTAAAGGGGAGAGGATAATGATGCACTCACACTTCTTAGGGCTGTTCTAAGGTTTAAATACAATTCAAGGACAGCGCTTGGCACTGTATGGCTCATGCTCAGTGCTCGCTAATGGTAGCTATTGCTGTTGTTGAGTCCTCAGCATTATGGTTGAAGATCAGCTAGAAGCTGGACATGGGCAGCCTGGTTTTACTTGTTGTTTTTAATTTAATCAAAAACATGAAGCAATATTTTTTCTCCACACATATTCACATCCATAAAATACATGCACCATTAAGACACACATGCACATGGAATAAAGAAAGACAAGCTACTATCTCTACTCAGCATATTTATTTCATGTAGTCTAAACTTGTTTTTTTCTGCTGATAAACCAGTCTTGCTTTGCCCTTAGGCAAGGTGCACATAAGGCAGCGATGTTTGATGTTTATTAACACCATCAAAGGTTAGCCACTTGTTTTCTATGAGGAACGGCTGGAATAATGTCGGAGGTATTATGGTGTTGTTCACATAACTTCAGAGGCAGCCCACAGGAATCAACCACGTCTGTGGTGAAGGCAGCACCAATGGCAGAGCACGCCCCTGTCCCCAGCCCCTGGCATCACACTCACGGACCCTCCTAGGCCCTCTCTGTGCCCCTGCCGCAGCAGCCGGCATGCTGCCTTCTGGAAAGTTCGTCGGATGAAGGCTCAAGAACACAAGACAAGGGGAAAAGCAATTAAACAATACTAGGGAGATCTACTATGTGGACTTGAAATCTTTGAGACAATATTTAAGGTGAAACAGCAAAATACGAAGGTGTAGTCTTACAATTCCAAAGACTGTTTTTAGAACAGCGGTTCTCAATTGGTGGGGACTGTGCCCCACTGCTCCCCTTCAGGGGCCAGGCAGCAATGCCTGAGGATGTTTTTGGTTGTCACAACTCACTGGGTGGGGGGCCGTGTACTACCAGCACCCAGTGGTCAGCTGCTGGGATGCTGTTAAACATCCTGCAACGCACAGAGCAGCCTCCGCAACAAAGGATTTCCTAGCGCAAGAGTCAGTAGTGCCGAGGTTGAGAAACCTGCTCTAGAACAACCAGAGGGATTAAAATAAATCATTTCCCAGCTGAGAGGAGGATGAAAGAGGAGAC